TACTTGCAACTCCCTATGATCTTTAACGTAACCATCACGCCACTGCTTGTGTGATATTAAACATTTACAGAAGGAAAGCTGTAAATTAAAAAACCGTCCGTATTCAGTCTCCATTAGTTTAAGCTGGACTAAGTTTCACTCGCTCTTTTCCGCCACTTTTCGGACCACTTTTCGCATCAGGTCCCTGAAAATAAATAGAAAAAAAATTAAAGGGATACAAATGCCAGCTGGTAACAATTTAACAGCTTGCTGACAGCTGCCTGTACGCTTGCGAGGATATGGTTGCCCCGATTTTCTTTTTCAATTCAGTAGTTCTCGCAGAAGCAACGGTTCCAAAACACGATTCTTTCAACTAAAAACCTGAGCTTCTCTACCCCTAGGTAAAGGCTTTTAGGTATTTGTCACATGTTTGACTTCAGTCCTCCCTCACGAACGTCCGAGGTTGAGAGGGAAAAGTGTAACAGTAACCAAAAGCGCATTTCACTGGAACCCTCTCGTTTGTATGCCTACCTGATTAACGTAAGTTTGTCCTCCATTGATTCCCATGGACTTCGCTCATCACTATACTCTAGCATCTCTACACATATAAAAACGAAGCAAAAAAATAAATACCACTCATAATGACGCGAAGTCCCATATACCTACATGCTCCTTCTCAGCGCCCATTTCGTGTTATTACCGCATAAGACGCGCGGGCGCTGAAAAGAGCGGAAAAGAAAGTGAGCGAGGTAAGATGGGTTTCGCTTCTCTTATCCGGCCTGTAGGCGAGCCCCCTTTTGTTTTTCGCTTTAATGAATTCGACTGCTTACTGATAGTGCCTCTCGTTTTCTAATGATGGCCTCTCACCTCACAAGCAGGATTCCGAGAATTAAAGTAACTGTTTCGTCTCACTTTATTTCAGTTCTATCCATTCACAAATACACTCTATGACTCTCCTATGCAATTAGTAATAACATACATGGCACTTTTTCATGCTACGCTTTTTCCGAAAGTTCTTATTCCAACTTTATATCGAAATTACACTGGTGCTAAAAAAGACGAAAAATGAGCGATCTGTTAATTATAACCTACCTTTAGCGAGCATAGTTTCGCTGACTCGATCGCCTTCTTGGTAATATTTGACTCGGAGATTCTACAGTAAAAAGAGGACGGACAACTTAGTCAATTTGTACCCTGCCTTTACGATGTTCTTCGGTTCGGGGCAAACGAGATTGCGCAACGCCGCGATACAATAAAATTAATACAGGAGCAATAAGGATTCTTACAAAAGGTTGCGCGTCGTCATTCACTGGGCGGTTAGTTATGAAAGAGCGCCGGTTAAATTATAAGCCCTTTGTTACCCTCAAGGACGTAGAAACTTACAAATCTAGCAAATCTGCTGTGCTCCAAGCGAGTGATGATGATCATTCTATCGACAGCGTACTGCAGCTTGGCGTTCTTCTTAGCTTCAGTGTAAGTGAAACTAAGCTGAGCGATGAGAACATTGAGAAGAATGACAATAACCATGGCCATGTAGGCAAGAAGAATAAGGATTGCCAGCCAGCTGTGAACAAAAAAAAAAAAAGAAAATATAGAAAATATTACAGTGGGTGTTACAATGACACAAAAAAGTCTCTCGAATCTCAAAGCCGTGCACGGTTGTTTCTCTTTTGTGTATTAACATGTTCGTACGAATAAAGTTAAGCTAGATAACGAGCGTATGCTCTAATTAAGCTATATAACGAGCGTATACTCTAGTAAAGCTAGATAACGAGCGTATACTCTAGTAAAGCTAGAAAACGAGCGTATAATCTACTAAAGCTAGATAATGAGCGTATACTCTACATAAAATTTAAAATGTAGTGGAAGCTGGATTTCCTCCTATTGTTTACCTGAACTTAGAATAGTCTTCTTCTACGGGTTGCTGTTCAACAAGAGCTCTTACAGCGGCCAGCATCAACCAGAGGTAATTCCTTGAAAAAGAAAGAAAAATAAAACGCAAGATTAGTGTACCTGCAAACATAAACGTCAAGCCAGAAATGATCTCCATGGCAGAAGGACGTCACGTGCTTCTCAAGATTGTTCAGTCTCACCACTTTCGTCGCAAATGGCGACAAAGAAAACAAAACAAGGGTAAGCGCAAAGCACCAGAGAGTGGGGTCTGGGACGGGCGAGCAAGCAAAAAATCCAGTCGCCCAACCCCTTAGCGCCGAGCTTTGACACTCGCGTCAGTTGGCATGGCATGGCGCCTTCGTCAATTAAAATACTAGAAAATAGAGGACTGTGAAGAGTTAAGTGAGTTTCAAGGTAGGATGAGAAGGGTTTCGCTTACATTACATTTTGAGCATTGCCACTACCCCTGGAGTACTAAAGCATCAAGTCTAACCAAATAGCTCAGTACCAAGTGAGAAGGCCCGATTCTGGAGAATTCCCCGGACAGAATTATCCATTCACTGCAATAGACCTTGTCACGGTTTTCGACGCCATCTTTACGAGTAGGCAAACGCATGAGAAATTACAGTGATTGTATGCGAATCTAATGTCGAATCATTTCCGTAGAGCGGCTGTTCTGAAAAAAATGTGATTGTAAACTAAAGCTTCACTCCTAAGGATTCTCCTGATAAACTTTGAAGGCGTTACATGCACTAGAAGACTTAGAACCACTTTTTAAAATTTTCTATACATTTGTCTGTAAGAAAGTCCAGGGAAAATTACAGACAAATATATGGAAAATCTAAAGCAAGCCTCTGGAGAAATTTAAGCACAGGTACGCCCCCAATTTTTTTTTTGGACAATCCTTTGCTTTGTAGCTTTAGTTTACAGTTGATATTTTGTTCAGAACAGCCGTTTTACGGAAATTATTCGACATTAGATTCTCATACAAACACTGTAATTTCTCACACGTTTGCCTACTCGTCAAGATGGCGTCGAAAACCGTGACAAGGTCTATATAACACCAACAATAGGATGACAGTGTCAAAACTTTTGATCTCCGACCCTATAGCTCCACCAACCGAATTAATCGGCCTCATGTTGTGATTACAATAGAGAAGCATCTTACGTGAACAGATCTTGTTTGTCTGTGGCTTTCAGCGCCATGAACATAGCTCCGCAGAATCCAATAAAAACGATAAGGAATACCACACTGAAGCGAGTGATGTCTCTGTAAATTATCTTGGCGAGAGTCTTCGTGTAGAGGCCTGTGGTTCTGCCAAAAAAAGGTAACAGTTTACTACTGTGAGGAACGTAAATCACAGGACTACCACGTTGGGAGATCCTACCCTCCTTCCTGTGGCACAAAGAACCAAAAAGTATTGCTATAATATGTATTAGTGCGCGTTTGAATACGCTGTTCCAACAAAATGCATTACCTTGAAACACAGGAGAACTTGAAGAGCCTGAGAAAATTGAACAAGTAGCCGAGTCCAGCGACACTCCATTGAGACTGGACTTCAGCAAACCGTAGAGGAATGACAAGGAACATCAACACAAGCCCCAGCCAATCAAAATAGTTGTAGGGATCCCTGAAATAAGAGTTCCATTCTCTGGACAAAGGAAACACAAAAGTAAATCAACACTGTTATCAGCTAAGCGTGTGCTCCGTCGCGTAGTTTGCCCTAAACAAGAGTCAGGTTAACATTTAATCCAATAACAACAAATGTCTCGTTAATACAGAGGTCACTAGAGGTCATCGTGTCTTTCGCACTTCATTATAAGGAGCAAAGTTTTAAATCATTTGTCCCTTAGAAAAACGGAAAGGACCGGGCACAATAAAACGTGATAACGGCTTTTTATGTTACATCCTACCTACCAAAACTGAAGAAAATGTACGGTCGAACCTCCGATAAGTAGTCACCCTCCGGGCCCGGAAAAGTGTTCGCTTAGGGGAGGTGTCCCCCCCTTAAGGGAGTTTAGAAATTAGTGTTTATAGTGGTTGGAACCATGAACATGTGTGCACTTATGACGGGTGTCCGCTTGGGGATACAAATAAAGCCGCGGTGTTTGTATGAACAAGTGTCGTCCGTTTCAGGGAGGTGTCCACCGCCCATCTGAGGTGTCCACTTGTTTAAGTTCGACTGTAATTTAATAACCTTTCTATTCAATTTTTTTCTTCCACATCTTAATATAGTTTAATCCTTTCGTCATTAGGAATCGAAAATGGGGGTAAGCTTACAATTTTGAGAACTCACCTTTCCGCTTGATTGACTTCCTCGAAAGAGTAGAACATTAGAAAAATGATGGTGGTAATTTCGCAAAACAGTCGAAGTCCGTCTGCTTTTCCACTGTATTGAGTTGGATCTTCTCTTGTTGAGCCGTAAATAAGCGCGTAGGACAACACTAGTAGAAACAGTACGTAGAAAGCCGCCTGAACGCTGCAACGGAAAAAAATAGGAAAGTATTACCTTGTTCCAAGCTCAATCTTGCCACCTTAGCCCAATGACTTTAAGAACATGGTGAAAACAGTAAGAAGAAGGGAAGTGTAACCTGAGAAAACAAGCGACATTTCGTAAGCCAGCCACTAGTTTCAAACGAAATGAGGTCCCCGGAACGAGCGGAGAAATTCCATACTGATGACGTGTCACTACCCAGATCTGAGTAGTGTTTCTGATTGGCTGAAGCAAATTTCCCTCGCGGCACGACCAATCAGAAGCACTGCTCTGATCTGAGTAATGACACTTCATCACTATGGAATTTCTGCGCTCGTTTCTAAGACGACATTTCGCGGAGAAACCAGCGGTGGCGTCTCAAAATGTTGGCTGTTTCAGGTTCAGGCTGAGGGTAGCGCTGAGGAACAGCTTTACGACAACTGACAACAGAATTGTAGTGGACTACACTTTTTTTATCGTAGGCTATGATAGCTTTTGTCTTTGCTGCTATGTTATTAGTCAAAAGAATATCGATGAAATGCTGAACACCAGCAAAACTCACCAAAACCACCAATGTCCAAATTTGTTCCATTTCCTCATAACCAACATTCTTACTACAGGGTGTTGAATGGCCTCCTGACGGTACAATGCAAAAAGGTCAAAGGTTAACGTTCAAATTTTACACCAAACATTAACGCAAGTGTTATGGTCAAATTAAAAGGGATAAAGAAAAGAAAAAACATTCAGAAAAAAAAAAACAGCATAGATACGGAAATCGGCAACCTCAATTTGTACTCAGATATGACCAAGTCCTCCCTTTACTTCTTATTTTACGTTCTTTAAATCTACACGATCATAAAAAAAATTCATTCCGGTCTCATTCAAAAGAATTAGTTTCGGATGGTTTTCATACCCTCTTTTCTCTTTAATTTGTGAAACTGTTAACTTGAATCTGACTTTTGTCGTTTGCGGTGAACCTGATTCCAAATATTTCTATGATAATAAGAATATTATGACGTTCTTTTGCAAAAAGTTGCTAAAATAAAATTATGACGCCTTTTTCAAAGATGGATTTCTTTACACCCCCAATAAGATAAACTCAAGTGATTTTCAAGAAAATAACCATAAGGTACGATAACCTACTATCAGTTACATCATAAGCACACATAAGCGAATATATTTCTGAAGTTACACTGTCTTAAAATAACCGTGATTATTTTTCATTTGCGATAGAATGTGCCTCTTGGATCAAAACACTATCCTTTTCACTACGTTTGAAGTCGGTTTAACATGAAAAATCACATTACAGCATGTGCCAACGATCAGTCGCTTGATTCTCCTGCCTTGGCCAATTCTTATCGAATGTAGAGAGAATAAAGGGTCTAAACACCTCTAAGCGTCTTCAAATAAATTACAACACTTCATTTAGGCGAAGATGACTATAACTAATGAAAGTGCTACTAAATAAACACAACAGCTCTATCATAAATTGAGCTCATTTACGGGACGAGCACGGGACGGGACACGGGACACGAAGAGTATAATAAACTACCCAATTCATAACCAAAGAAACTTTTAATTGCTGGAAACGTTTCCTTGACTAAATCCACCCAGTATATAGTACATTCCTGGACTTGTAAAGACAGAGAAGCCAATTTAAGACCCTCTAAATCAATTAAACTATAATTGAAATTTCACTTCCTCTCGGATGCAAACGATCAAACCTATCAACAACCAATCTCTTTGGTTTCGAAAGTCTACTCTTACTATGCAGTACATTAAATCAATAAGAAAATATATCAACTGCTTCGTAGCTTAGCGGTAAGAGCGCTGGTCTTTTAAACCACTGATCGAGGGTTCGAATCCCTCCGGAGGCAAGTCGTCATTTTTGATAAATTCCTGTCTTAGAGTTCATGGAAAATCTACCATTAAATACCAACATACTTGTCACACCGCTTAGATGCTTATTAGCTTTTATTTTCAGCCTGTCACCAAATTCATTCACTATGCAGTGTAACATCCAGGTCAGGGAAAGTTTCCACCACGTCAAGCTGAAATCCTGAACATGTGACTATTCATATGAAAGCTAATGAGTATACTTTCCTTTGGTACTGTTTATTACTGTCAAGGATACACACATTCAAGGTGACTCTTAATTTCAAGTCTGTGGATGAAATCCGAACATTTGACCATTATAAGGTTGGCCTATTTTTTTTAATGGGAAAGAGCACCATGTGTAACCACGTCTTATCATGAAAGCCGCAAGTTAAAACCACACCAATACATTGCCAGCTGGAACTTGGGTGTCCTGCCCTTAGAAGTACTTACAGTACGTGCATTACACTTGTTTAACAAATCAAAATAGATTCAGACAGTGCTGTGTGTTGAAATGCAACATTTTCCTGATTTATTGCCTCCGCGCAACGCATCATTATATAAGAATTTTCACGCAACAGGCAGGACATAAACGCAGGGTTCATAACGAGAAGCTAACCTTCTTTACTTTACACTAATTAATCTTTTCTCACCTAATACATAAAGGAAATTAAGCATAAAATTCCTTCCAATAACCAAATGACATCTTAAAAATGACGGCGTTAAAACATTTTATTTGACATTCTTTGCGCTTCAAATTTCAAATTAAAAATTTAAATTAAAAAGCTATGCATACAGAGTTTCTTTTAGTCTTAAAATATATCTGATACATGACTGCTATTATACTTAAAAATTACAAACCGTCTTTGAAATTCCTTAGATAACGTCTTTTTAAATTTTTCTTCTTTTTCCCGCGTTGTGTCATTATCTCTAATTCAAGCATTCTATTTACAAATATTGCTCAAACAAGACTCGTTGTACTTCTGAACATCAAGAGAGGATCCTCTTATCTCAGCTACAGACATCATAATTTTATATATTTCCACATGATTTCTTCCCAGCAAAAATACATTAACTTGATCAGTTTCCTCTGATTGAGATGGGTAGTGATTCCTTCACATAGCGACATCCCTTGTTCCTAATCTCGCTCATCTGTCTTTCTTGTTTTGTCTGGACGGAGCTTTTCGTTAATG